AGGGGAGAAGGGTTAATGGTGAGGCCTTGGCCTGCCCTCGCCCCAGCCAGTGCCATCTCCTGGCAAAGCCCACCCAGCCCCCAGCCCCGCCAGGCTGACAGCTGCAGGCCCTCCCCCTCCATCTCCGCCTCCCAGCTGCCAGGGCAGGGCTCGCTCACCTCTCATTCTCTCTGACGCCCGGGGCCTCAGCATCTTCCTTGGCTGCTTCCTCCTCCTCCTCCTCTGTCGGAGGCCCCCGGCCAGAGCTGGGTTCAGAGGGGGTGCTGTTCTCCACTTCCACAGGGAAGGGCCGCTCACCCTCCAAACTGGCCACCTCCTTCTCCTCCCCCTCCGGGTCTTCTGTCTCCTTGGGACGTTTTGGGGAGTCCTAGGCAGGATTGGTAGAGATGAGGTGCACTGCGGCTGGAGAAGGGGGATGGCAGCCACCGGCTGGTGCCCCCCCTTTCTCCAGAGGCTCCTTCCTGGGTATCCGCAGTCCCCCCGAGCCCTATGCTGGCTGAAATGACTTCTGTGTCCCATCCTCTCAGCAAGGGACTCCTCAAGACTAGAGGCCAGGTCTGTCTCTGACTGGGAGCCCGGCTCCTGGACCCTGGGGGACAGTTACCTCCAGCAGGTCCCCTGCTCTCCTCTTCAGCGCCCCCTTCTCATTCTTCTCCTTGGTGGGCTCGTCGATGACCAGCTTCCCTTCCTCATCACTGCTACCCTCAGCATTCCCCTTCTTGTCACCATCGCCCTCTGGGGCTTCGGGCTCTGGCTCCGGCTCTTCCACGCAGCTCTTTTTCTGGGAGGACTGTGGCAGTGACGGCAGAGGCTGAGTGGCACCAGTGGCTGCCATGCTAGGCCCCCTCCCCAGAGCCCTCCCTCAGCCACTCACTCCTTCCTTTTCCCACCTCTCCCCCACCCCCACCCAGGTGCCCAGTCTCACAAGTGATTTGAGACCCACCTCTGTCGGATTAGCCCCAGGGTAAACCCACTGGCCGGGCAGGCAGGGCTCTGTGCAGGAGGGGGGAGGGCTGGAGCAGGAGGCAAAACCTCGGGTCAACTTC